CTTCTTCTTCTTCTTCTTCTTCTTCTTCTTCTTCTTCTTCTTCTTCTTCTTCTTCTTCTTCTTCTTTCTCCTCCTCCTCTATTTTTAAGAAGTATGAGAGATGGGCTAGTTAAATTTCATAACTCTATATTTCTTCAAAAACAATTGTTAAATGCACCTGTATTCAATCACATTTCAAGATATTATAGGCTAACCTGAGATCTGCATTATAACCAATAGAAAGTGTAGCATTTAAGAAAAGCTATGCCAGTATACATTGTTTTAGGTAATTCAAAGACAGAACAGAGAATTATTCAAGTATAATGAGAACACTCTTCCAAACTAGGAATGTACTGCCAAATATCTGACTTAGAGTTTCAAATTAGTATTTGCAGTCAATCTATTCAGTCATAGTTTGGTGTCTCTGGAAGTCAGTTCTTCCATCTCAGCCAGCTTTGTTGTCTCTTTTCCATTCTGCAGCCAGAAAACCGTCAAACAGATTTGTGTAAGGCTTTCCATCCAAATGACCCCTTTTTCCTGTATTATTTGTCAACGTGTAGGCACCAAAAAGCTCACTCACTTTTAGTCTGATAGCTCAGAAGTAGCAACAAATTGCATGTTATTTACAGAAACTGATAGCGACATTAGATGCCTGATTTAAAGGTCAGGAATAACTCCCATTCTAATTTCTTGGCTGGCAGAAGCTGTGGATTGTGAGACTCCCTGCCACAATAATTTATTTAATCTCTTGTGTGAAAGAGTCCAAGGCTGAAATTACAAAGTCCATAGGACTAAGATGATGTTGCTTCTTTTATTGAGTCCTGTTCAAAAGATAAGATTTGCCCTTTACCTAGAAGTAATACTTATAAAATAATAGAAGCACTTTATGTAATATAATTTATTAGATGTAAATTATATTAGATAACATGCTTCCTAAATTGTTTAGTATCATACTGTCTCTTTCTATGGTAGCACTTATCACCACATCTAGGCTGCCATTTGAAGGCCAATTTGTGTATTGATGCCAAATTTTTACCTTCCATGATGGCATGAGGATTATTCCTTAATGAAGATCTTATGACTTTTATTGTTTTATCAATGTGTAAAATACAAATAAAAATAAAAATAGGAAGTTAAAGGAAGAAAAAAGAGTGGGGAAAAGAAAATATGAGATACAAGGAAAGAAAGAAAAAAAGTGTTGATTTCTGACTCTTTTTAACACAGTACAACTCTAAACTTTTCTTTAAGCTAATACATTTTTCTTTAATTTTCTATTAACATAGATACTTTCAAATACACTTTCAATAATACTTTGCAAACTTCATAATTTCTTAAGCATTTATATAAAGGAAAAATACATTTTCAAACTTTAGATTAAGACTTTCTTTCAATTACAAATATCAGACTGATAAAAATCTATCCTAATTCCAACTGACTCATTAAGTTTAAGTCATTCCTTACAGCTTGTCTTCATGGAATAAAATCATTTTCTTCTCTGGAATGTTTGTCAAGTAGTTTTAAGCTTCTCTTTTTCTTGAGGATTTGTCAACCTTGTTAATATCCATGAGAAAAAAAATCTCAAACTTGTCCTTTTAAAAGTTACAGGTTTTCTTGGAGCTCTTTTTTCAATTGTGTTGGGAGGTTTATATTTAAACCATCATAATAAAAATTGATGTCAGATTTATATTCCAAAATTGCAATTGACTTCTCTGAATTGTCAGCTACTTGTGAAATTGCCTTGGTAGTTTGGTAACTTTCTATACATATTTGCATTTCTGAAGTAGTTTGATAAGTTTATTTTTTAACATCCTTGGAGCAAAGCTGATTATGAACATGGATTTTGTTTGAAAATTTTTGAAATGCATCTCTAATAATTTGCTCTTCCATCTTCTTAACTCTCTCTTTAATCAAAGAGTAGCTTTTTTGTAAGTCACTTAAGAATTGCTGGTCAATCAGGAATCATAAAAATTGGAAAGTTTTAGCCACCCACAGCAAAGCAGACCAAGCTACAAATTACTAAAAATAATAAACTAGGACCCCGGCTTTCTGTCCTTTTATTTCTCCATCAACTTTTTTTTTAAAGTCCACATTTCCTTATTTTAGCTCACCTTCAGCATTCTTCTTTCTGGTTGTTTAACAATGTAGAAATCCCCCGAAATGGTGCTGATCTCCAAAAAGGAATAACAGGCTGTTATTCAGCTTAATAAAGATTAAACATCCTTTAAAATGATTAAGAAATGAAAGGCACAACTTACTCTACATTTGAAAAATAAATTCCAAAACACCTGCTTCTTCAACAATGAAGGTAGGCAGGCTGCTTTGAAACACAGCCCCTGAAGCTACTTAGAGATCTTTGGTATGTCAGAGGATCTTGTGGGATAATTCTAAGACTTTCCATAACTCAAGAGAGTCATATAAACCAGGGGTCCCCAACCACCGGTCCGCGGACCGGTACCGGTCCGTGGAACAAGTCCTACCGGGCCGCTGGCTTGCTGGGCGCCGCCATCTTTTTTTGATGAAAAAGTGCTTCCGGTGAGCTTTTCCGGGTAGAAAGCTCACCGGAAGCACGTTTTCATCAAAAAAAGATGGCGGCGCCCAGCTAATGCCGGTACTGGGCCGCGCCATAAAAAAGGTTGGGGATACCGGGCCGCGGCGTAAAAAAGGTTGGGGATCACTGATATAAACTAAAGGAATGCCAGAACCTTCTGTTGGTAAGATGAAAAAGCTACTTCAGGGGAAAAGCCTACAGGGATCCTTTCCTGGGTGTTGTCAGTTGGCCATCTTTTCTCCAGACTTGAAGATTGATGGCTTTGCTCTTGAGGTGCTTGAAAGAAAAATAGGTACATACTGAAAAATTGAGTCTTTCTTTTGCTCATTGAACTCACTGTTCTGTTTGACAGATGTGAAATCACCTCTTCTTACTCCAAATAATAGAGACAGATGAGTTGTAGGGTTTACAAATTGATAGCAGACTATTTAATCTCTTAATAGTACAGTTGTGCAGGCAGTTATGAAGAAGAAAGATCTTTTTTATTACTAGTTCTACAAATGGCTTCTCCAAACTTTGCTGTCTACAAACATTTTGATAACAAACCTCATTATTCCTAGTAATCAATCATCGAAACCTGAGTTGATGCAAACTGTAATCAGAAACCCGATTATGGTGTCCCCTTCCTACCCGCATATGCCAGTTTGTATTCATTTTACATCTATTGAATTCCTATACAACTTTTTTTTCCATCTGTAGCTTGTTGGAATAAACTGGAAGGGAAGCGTCATATTTACTCTTTTTTGTATTTACAAAACCACCTCTGACACGTTATTTGGTTGATTAAATGAAAATTATACTGCTTGCCATTATTAGACTTCATTGTCATGGTTAATTTTAACAAAACTGCTTCAAAAGATCAATATTTCCCCTGCGTGAGGTCCCTAGTGAGGAAAGATGTATCACATTTCCAAGAGATTTTTTCCCCTATATAGATATCAGTGTTTTTTAACCTCAGCAACTTTAAGACCTGTGTATTTCAATTCCCAGAATTTCCTAACTAGAGTGCTGGCTGGGGAATTCTGGGGGTTGAAGTCTACACTTCTTAAAATTGCTGAGGTTCAGAAACACTGCTATTGATATATCTATATCTATATCTATATCTGTATATCTGACATAAACACAGTTGAGCGAGTCCAGAAGTATTTTACCAGAAGAGTACTACATTACTCTGTTCACAACAGAATATCCTACACCACCAGACTTGGGATTCTAGGCTTAGACAACCTTGAACTATGCTGGCTAAGATTGGACTTAAGCATAGTACATAAAATCATATGTTACAACGTCTTACCAGTGAATGAATATTTCAGCTTTAACCACAACAACACAAGAGCACACAACAGATATAAACTAAATGTAAACCACTCAAAACTCGATTGCAGGAAGTACGATTTCAGCAACAGAGTGGTCAATGTCTGGAACTCACTATCTGGTTCTGTTGTCACCTGCTCAAACCCCCGCTCCTTTACCCTCAAACTAACCTCTATTGACCTCGCCCCATTCCTAAGAGGTCTGTAAGGGGCGTGCATAAGTACACAATCGTGCCTACCATCCCTGTCCTATTGTCCCCAATTATTAGTTCCTATTTCTTGTATTTAAATTTATGTTTATTCTTATTTCTGTTGTATTGTAAGCTTTTGACAAATAAATACAATAAATAAATAAAATAAATAAAATATCAGTATGCAGGTAATCCTCGACTGATGATCCCAATTGAGCCCAACATTTCCATTGCTAAGTAAGACAATTGTTAAGTGAATTTTGCCCCATTTTACAACCATTCTTGCTACAGCTGTTAAGTGAATCACTGCAGTCAATAAGCTAGTAACAAGGTTGTTAAATGAATCTAGCTTTCCTCTTGACTTTCCTTGTCAGAAGATCACAACAGGTGATCACGTAATCCCACTGCAAATGTCATAAATAAATGCCAGTTGTCAAGCATTTGAATTTTGACCATGGGTATGCTGCAATGGTCATAAGTGTGAAAAATAGTCATAAATCATTTTTTCCAGTACTGTTGTAACTTCAAACAGACACTAAACAATAGATTGGTTGTAAGACATATATATCCATAGATGCAAATCTAATTTTGACTTATGGGAAATGCATTTGTAAGGAAAAACAATTGTTTTTGTGAGAATCAGCTTAGGTGAAGCAATGAAATCTAAATTGAAGTAGCTACCTTCCTGGTAAAAGAGGCATGAAGCTTTGACAGCAAATTACCAGCAACTGATATTTCATGTCTTCCCATGAGTGAAGCCTGCTCTTGAGGAAAGAGCCATGAGAAAAGAAACAATGGAAGGAGCAAATGTTATACCAGCTGGACCCTTTTTCTGTGATTTGGGCATCGTGAGCACTTGTTTTTGTTGTTGCTTCTTTTGAGTTAGTGTTGATTCATGGCAACTGCCTAGACAGACTGTATTTTTGTAGTTTTCTTTGCAAGGTTTTTTGTTTACAAGTAGCTAACCATTGCCTACTTCCCAAGGGCTGAGGGGTGGGGGTGGGGATTGGCCCAGGGTCACCCAGTTGGCTTTCTGCCTAAGGTGGGACTAAAATGTACTCCCAAATTTCTAGGCTGGTGTCTCAGCCACTACATCAAGTTGGCTTTCTGCGGAAGCACATAACTTATCTTTTTTTTCTCTTGTAGAATATAGAAAATGAAAAATGACTCACTGTGGGAGTAGCCAGTATGCCTGGCAGAGGATGAAGGCTCTTTGAACATGGAGACAGCCTTCAAATCAAGGTTTCCTTTTTTAAGGTAAATGAGCCTTCTTTGTATGAATATTATATTATCCCTTACTTGATGGTTCAGAAGCTTTAGCAACACTCTTGCATATCACACTAAATGTGTATTGTGAGGATATAGATTCATAAGCCATTTTTCCTTATTCTCTTGCTTTGCTTAGAAAGTGCAGAGACTATTTTTTTTCCAGTGTATGGTTATTTTGGGAAAATGGGAAGGTGAAATTCAAAGGCTCCTGCATTATGGGACTGATTTATAAACTGAAACACAAAGAGCCCGATTTACTAAAGAGCTATTTAATTTGTCCCTTTGGCAAACTGCTTTTTCTTTGAGGCTGAAGGCAGCAAGATGATAGTGGGAAGGCAACATCCTAAAGCTGGTAACATAAAATGGGAAAGAAGTTCAAAGCCGTACATCAGAAAGAATAGCAATGACATAGCAACAGCAATGACTCAGAAGAATGAGTCATGGCAAGAGAGACCTCTGAAAGAAAAAAACATCCTTTCTCTTTGCCTTGTTAGAGAAGAGAAATAATCTACAAGGGATGGAAAGATTGATTGAAGGGTCTCTGGAATATTTGAAAGAAAGCCACAACTAGACCTCAGCACTTTGCACTGAAACAGAACTAGCATTAGCAATGAAATATGTAACCATAGAAATCACTTTAGATTGGATACCCATTTCAGGAATTTAATGTTTTAATACATTATTTTAAATTAAAAAACAACACTGCTACTTAGCAATTCATGCACACAGTCCTCTTCTTGCCCAAACAAGCAAATACAAACAGAATAATAAAACATACATTCATCCCATTTTTAATTTTGCATTTAGCACAGTTATTAACCACTTATGTTAAAACCTGAGTACTGTACAGCAATAATAAAAAATAAGAGGCAAGAGCACAAAGAGTGTAAAAAAAAAAAAGTTTAAATGACCAGCCAAAGAAAATGTGGCTACTATACTTTACACCCTGCAGAAATGAATATGAATTACAAGTTTGAACATTGTATCCAGATTATTTGGTTTTATATGTACTAACATTTCCAAATATAAATATATTAATATAGTGGCTGCCTAAATATGTCTCGTTACTATATTAGTCTTAAGAATAGGAAAGGTCATGGTGCTGATTCAAAGAAAATCCATACTTTTACCTTTTCCAGCTGGTGGCTTTGGGTCAGTCACTCTATATCAGTTCAACCCATCTCATAATTGATTAACAATCACAATTAGGATTAATAACTGGGCTGTTTTGGGAAAAAGAGACAATGAAGCCATTTGGTACCTGAGTTGTATAAAAACTAAGGTAGACTTAAATCTAATAAATAAACTATTTTTGCAAGTACAGAAAACATGAATTATATTTTGAAATTCCTACTTGCATGATGTCACAAGGGACTTATCCATGCATCATTAGTCTAGTACTGAGGTCTCCAACCTTGGCATTTTAATACCTGAGAAGGTTGCTAAGGTTGGATACCCCTGGTCTGGTATACATTTATGCATAATGCTAAACTGTGGAATAAAAGAAGGAATGTGACAGTTGAGGCAAAAATGGTGAGTGGACATAATGAAGGATTGAGATATCAGGGGCTGGCTGAAAGAGAGGTTCTAAACATCAGCTTTGAGCATGAAACTGACTTCAGTATTAAACCATTTATTATGTATTCACTCCATTAAGCTACCCTTCCTTCCTTTAAGAATTCAAGGTATGTTACTACTACTTGTGTTCTGTTTAACTGTCAGCTAAGTTAAGATGAGAAATTGTGGCTGTATGAAAGGTATACCCATGGAGAAGTTTTTACAAAACAATTATGCTATATGAAAAGAAGAATTAGAATAAGAATTCTTGTATTGGCCAAGTGTGATTGGACACACAAGGAATTTGTCTTGGTGCAAATGCTCTCAGTATACATAAAAGAAAAGATACATTTGTCAAGAGTCAAAATCATAAGGTACAACATTTAATAATAGTCATAGGGTACAATAAGCAATCAAATCATACTAGGAAACTGTCAATATAAATCATAAGGATACAAGCGACAAAGTAACGGTCATACAGTCACAAGTGGGAGGGGATGGGTGATAAGGAGTGATGAGAAGATTAATAGTAATAGTAGTGCAGACTTTGTAAACAGTTGGACAGTGTTGAGGGAATTATTTGTTTAGCACAGTGATGGCTTTCGGGGGAAAACTGTCCTTGTGTCTAGTTGTTCTGGTGTGCAGTGCTCTATAGTGTCGTTTTGAGGGAAGGAGTTGAAACAGTTTATGTCCAGAATGTGAGGGGTCTGTAAATATTTTCACAGCCCTCTTCTTGACTCATGCAGTATACAGGTCCTCGATTAAAGGCAGGTTGGTATTAATTGTTTTTTCTGCAGTCCTAATTATCCTCTGAAGTCTGTGTCTGTCCTGTTGGGTTGAAGAACCAAACCAGACAGTTATAGAGGTGCAGATGATACTCAATAATTCCTCTGTAGAACTGTATCAGCAGATCCTTGGGCAGTTTGAGCTTTCTGAGTTGGTGCAGAAAGAACATTCTTTGTTGTGCTTTTTTAATGATGTTTTTGATGTTAGGTGGCCATTTTAGGTCATGTGATATAACAGAACCTAGAAATTTGAAGGTCTCTACTATTGATACTGTGTTGTCCAGTATTGTAAGAGGTGGTAGTATGGAAGGGTTTCTTCTAATGTCTATCACCATTTCTACGGTTTTGAGTGTGTTCAGTTCCAGGTTGTTCCGGTTACACCATGTGGCAAATTGTACAACCTCCTGTCTGTATGCAGATTCATTGTTGTCTTGAATGAGACCAATCACTGTTGTGTCATCTGCAAACTTCAGTATTTTAACAGATGGATCGTTTGAGATGCAGTCACTGGTATATAGGGAGAAAGTGGAGAAAGCACACAGCCTTGGGGGGGGGGGCTGTACAGGTATCAGATATGATTCTGCCTAGCTTCACCTGCTGCTTCCTGTCTGTTAGGAAGCTCATGATCCACTTACAAGTGTGTTCAGGTACCGCTAGCTGGTTTAGTTTAGTTAGAAGAATGTCTGGAATGATGTTATTGAATGCTGAACTGAAGTCTACAAAGAGGACCCTTGCGTAGGTATTTAGAGATTCAAGGTGTTGTAGGATGTAGTGCAGAGCCATATTAACGGACAAATGGAACCAAATGGAAGAACCTCTTCATGGTATACTTTCATATCAAGTTCTTCATACAATTGTAATCAACTTGTTTTGCAAAGATTTACATACAGAAGTATAGAAAAGCCATTAAATTGGCCAGACATACAGTATTTAGTTCTCTGCTTCTATTTTATGAAGGGGGTTTCAAAGAACTTTGACAAGCTTCTCAGATCTTTTTTTGTCATGGATCGCTCTATGAAGATTGTTCCATATCACAAAAATCCCATTAAAATGTGCTTTGAATCAAATTATTGAAATATTGCAGAAGGTTAATAAGCTAGATGGCTATGAAAGGCTTTCAAATTCAATGAATAAGTTTCATCACTTCCTGAAGCACAATGAAGTAATGGTCAAATTAATTTCATCCTGAATTAATACTAAAGGTGTATTAAGCTCCTTTCCATTAATCAACTAATCTTTTTGTTGATTAATCAGTTGGTTATTGGCCTATAAACAGCAACCAATATAAGAAAACCAAAAATTATATGAATTGATTCTTACCATTGTCTTCCTTAAAACCCTGCTCATAAAGACATAAGGTATGAATCTTTGTCTACTTTCAACCTTATCATCTGTTTGGCTCTAACTCTGAGCTACCTACATTCTTGGGAAGAACTGAGGGCACAGAACACATCCCAGTGACTGAGACTGTCACATTTTCTTTTAGAGATGAGGAATCCTGAAAAGAATCAATAGGATCTTGAATTGCATAAATAATTAAGTTTATATTAAATTTATATTCAAATGAACAGAAGTTTACCTCCACAATTTATTTTTCTATATAAATGGAGAAAGGGAAAGGGGAAAGAACCATAAGGAAAACAGTCTGCATATATGTACTTCTGCTTGATTTACACACACATACGTACATGCCAAGAATTGAACCAAGTTTTTAAGTTTATTGCATGCAGGGAGAATTTCTAAAATCATTTATGGAACTGACATAATATGTACATCATTTGCTGTAACTTCGTTTTCATTTAATCTTAGGAATTATCAGAAAGTACCTTCTCACTTTGCAACCTGTTTCCACACACTTGCACACACTTTAGCTAAAAGAAATACCTTTTTGTCAGGGGTGGGATTCAAAAATCCCAGCAACTGGTTCTCTGGTTGCTGAGTGGCCATGGCCATGTTGGGCGTGGCCTACTGGAACTTCTGGGAAGCTCATTTTTCGCCCTCTTGGCTCCAAGGCCCTCCGGAAGCTGGAAACATGCCCATTTCTAGACTTCCGGAACTTCTGGGAGATCCATTTTTCACCCTCCCAGAGCCCCCACACAGACCCTGCACTTACCTGCATCCAAAATGGGCCACATGAACACTCCTGGGAGGGGCAGGGTGGGAAGGGCCAGCCAGTTGGTTCAACTACCAGTTTGGTGAACCAGATGTAAATTTAACATCCGGTTTGCCCAAACTGGTCCGAACCGGCTGAATCCCACCCCTGCTTTTTATGGAAAGGTAATTTTCAGGGACTAATTTTATGGAAATCTATAGTGAGTTGCTTTTTTTAAATCACTTTGCCAAAGTATTCCTTGGAAACAATTGTATGAAGTGACACCCTGCTTCCTGACACTGGTGTGACACAGCTGTCCAGTTTTGTTTCAGGTAGGTGAGAGTGACTTCTTTGCATCCAGAGTTCTCAAATGGAGGTGCTGAAGTGAGTCAAATCAGCAATACCTGAACTCTTTCAGCAGCATTGGGGGCATTTATTCAGTCAGGCAAAGTATCAAGGCAGATCAGTACATTACAAAAAACCCAACCTATAAAACAGAAGTTTTAAGTTCCTTTCTTGCATCCTGCTGGCAGCTTGGATTCAAGACCCAACTGCTGCATGATGAGGTGAGTTCTTATTTGTTGCCTTAGGTCCTGCCCGCCTAGTAGTTCAAAAGCATGAAAATACAAGTAGATAAATAGGTACCACTTCAGTGGGGAGGTAGCAGCTTTCTGTGTACCTGGGTGTATAGTCATGCTGGCCACATGGCCACAGAAGCATCCTCAGACAATGCTGGCTCCCTCAGCTAAGAAATGGAGTTGAGCACCACCCCTTAGGGTTGGACACAACTGGACAGAGGAAACCATTACCGTTGCCTGGTATCCTGAATATATAGTGCGTTATATCTACAGGTTAAAATTATAAAGCATCCTTGCAAAAGAATTTCAAGCTACCACAGGTAGAATGCAAAACAAAAAAGTGGCTTGACACTTGTGAGAAGTGACCTCTATAACCTCTACAGAGAGTTCAACAGTGAAAGCCTATTGTTCCCTTGTGAGATTAATTTCACTGCCTAGTTAGTTGTAGATCACTGGTTGATAAGAACAGCAAGGTTTAGAAGAGCCTTTCCCAATTTGGGAAAATGTTTATTTAAAGAGTCATTTCCCCCCCTCAAGAATTTGGCAAGTCCTTTGAAGCAGACACAGACAAATGGTTTGATGATAACAGCTAAGTACCACCATGCACTTGTCATTATTAGGCTTGTTTCAGCCTCCCCGATTTCTCTATTTCTACCAGGTAATAATTTTCAGAGCTATTCAAAGTCTCCAAAAGCATGCAATGAATCCAAATTAATGTCTACAAGAGTAGGCCATGCAGTATCCTCAACAATTTAGGAGGATAATTTCTACAACTATTGTCCACATTGGGAGCAGTTGACAGGATCTACCCACCTATGCAGAAATCTATATCTAAAAGGATTCCCTACAGGCATGCTTACATTCTCTTATTTATAAAGGGACCACCAAATTCAACGAGATTTGCTTTTCTATAGGAAAAGGACTGCATTGTTAGTATTTTCATTAATGATGAAGCCAAAATCCTTGCCAGAAGAAACATGAAAGCAATTTAGGCACTAATACAATTTACATTGATTGGAGATTGAATAAACCAGTATAGGATTATATCACTCATTTAGCCAAAGGGAATATTCTAATCTAGCACTCTTCATTTTTCTGTTTGATGTTTTTCTACCAGGTCAGAAGTTCCATATGTTTTCGGAATGGAATGGAAGGGGAGGGGAGGGGAGGGGAGGGGAGGGGAGAGAAGAGAAGAGAAGAGAAGAGAAGAGAAGAGAAGAGAAGAGAAGAGAAGAGAAGAGAAGAG